ATACATCCTTTTATAATAAACCAGTAATCTAGTAAGTGAAATGTGTCTTTGAGTTCTGTGAATCACTCTAGCAAATTAAGCAAACCCAAAAAGGTGAGTAGGGAAAGAGTTAACAGTAGGCGCGGCCAGATGAGGGACCCTAAGAGAGGCTGATTGCAGCTGGGAGGGCTCCACCAAGGGACCCCCGCCCTAGACTTCAAGGCTCACCATAGTGGCCCTTGGCCCTCCTACTCCTGGTGGTGTCCACAGTGCCCTGGTTGCATATGCGGGTGGGATGCTATAGCTGTGTGCAGGTTTGGGGGAAAAAGGGATAAAAGCATTCCAGATCTGCCCATGCTAGGTGTCATGAATAGAGTCTCACAAACTGTTATCTAGTTCCTGATAAAGTCCCAATAAAAAGTCAGAGACAAAAATCATACCCAGCAACCCAGTCGGCATCCCTCTCACTCCTGAGAGCTTTGTACTTTCCCTCAATAAACCCTATCACTTTGCTCACTCTCTGCTGTCTGCGAGATTCACTTTTCAACTAGGTGGGATAAGGACCAGCATCTCTCCAACCCACCTGCACCAAAGGGTTCTTTATAACCTCCCATCTATAGCTAGTAGATGAGAAGCATGCATGACAACCTAGACTTTCAATTGGCATCTAAAGTTGGGGGCGGGGGAGAGGGAGCACTCGTACAAGACTGAGCTCTTAACCTGTGGAACCCGATACTATTGCCAAGTAGATAGATTCAGAATTAAGTTGAGTTGTAGGACATTCAGCCCGTGTCTGAGAATTACTTGATGTGTGTGTGTGTGTGTGTGTGTGTGTGTGTGTGTGCGCGCGCTGGGGGGGGGGGCGGGAACACATTGTAATCAGAGTCAGAATTCTTAACAGATACTTAAAACTAGGGGCACTTGGATGCTCAGTGGGTTAAGCATCCGACTTCGGCTTAGGTCATGATCTTGAGATTTGTGAGTTCAAACCGTGCATTGGTGTGGAGCCTGCTTGGGATTCTCTCTCTCTCTCTCTCTCTCTCTCTCTCTCTCTCTCTCTCTCTCCTCCCCTCTCTTCCTGCCCCTCTCTCACTTTGTACTCTCTCTCAAAATAAATAGAAACTTTTTTTTAATTTTTAAGTTTATTTATTTACTTTTTAGAAAGAGAGTACATAGGGGAGGGACGGGGGTGGGAGGGAGAGAATCCCAAGCAGGCTCCTCGCTGACAGTGCGGAGCTGGATATGGGGCTCGAACTCATGAACTGTGAGATCATGACTGATAAAGGAGCGTGGGGCAAGCTGAGGACAAAATGCAGGCTAACAGCACCCCCCACCTCCTCATGGGATATGGGTGATATTCCTTGGACACTCCCAACTACCCCCAAACAGGAAAGGACAAAAACAAATGGTTAAACTGGATAAGAGTCTTCACCAGTTTACCAGAAAAAGGCAATCCCATCAACAGCCTAAAGTCTAGGAACTCCCTACTGTCTTAATGTTAATGCTTAATATTAATGCTTTACCAGAAAGAAAAACAACCTTAGCTTGACAGTAGGCCTTGACTAGGCCTTCAGTAAGTCTTTAGTATGTGAAAATCTCCTTGGAAACTCCCTCTGGACTTTATCTCCCCCAACTCCTTAAAAGATCCCCCCCCACCCCGACACTTACAGTGCACCTCTTCCTGCCCACAGGTCCTGTCCCCGTGCTTTAACAGCATCATCATTTTTGCACCAAAGACATCTTCAAGAATTCTTTCTTGGTCATCGGCTCCAGACCCCATGAACCCCCCATCACCCCAAAACTTCATCAATGACCTGAGCCGAGATCAAAAGTCAGACACTCAACCGACTGAGCCACCCAGGCACCCCTAAATAAAAACTTTTCTTTAAAAAAGGTCCTCACCCTCTTTATTTATTTATTTTTTTTAATGTTTATTTTTCAGAGAGAGAGAGAGAGAGAGAGACAGAGTGTGAGCTGGCGGAGGGGCAGAGAGAGAGAGAGGGAGACACAGAATCTGAAGCTGGCTCCAAGCTTGAACTCATAAACTGTGAGATCATGACCTGAGTCAGAGTCGGATGCTTAACCAACTGAGCCACCCCAGGTGTTGAGGTCCTAACGCTCTTTAAAAACAAATAGATACTGGGGCGCCTGGGTGGCTCAGTCAGTTGAGCACCTGACTTTGGCTCAGGTCATGATCTCGCGGTTTGTGAGTTTGAGCCCCGCATCGGGCTCTGTGCTGACAGCTCGGAGCCTAGAGCCTGCTTCGGATTCTGTGTCTCCTTCTGTCTCTGCCCATCCACCACTTGTGCTCTGTCTCTCAAAAATAAATAAATAAATGTAAAAAAAAAAAAAAAAAGAAAAGAAATAGATACTTAAAGCTCACCACTTCCTGGGGTGCCTGGCTGGTTAATTTGGTAGAACATGTGACTCTTGATCGCAGGGTTGCGTGTTTGAGCCCCAGATTGGGTACACAGATTACTTTAAAAAATTAAATTAAAAAAACAGAATCTTAAAAAAACAAAAACTCATCTCTTCTTCCTCATTATTTCACCACAGTTTACTATTATCATTGCTCTTGACGTACTGTGTCTGCGTGGTATGGTAAAATATTAAATCATAATTGCATAAGCAGGTATACGAATTCCAGTTGCTCTGATAGCCTCACCAGCATTTGGTATTGTCAATAGGCTTTGTTCATTTAGCTATTCTAGTAACTGTGTGGTAGTATCTCACTGTGGTTTTAATTTCTATTTCCCTAATGACTAAAGATGTTCAGCATCTTTTTATGTGCTTATTTGTCCACGGTGATGTATTCAAAAATCAAGTCTAATCATGTCACTCCCCTTCTTAGAACCCATAAAAGATGGCATTGGCTGCCTCCATTTTGACCTCAAACTTTCCAGTTGGCTTTTTCATGCCAGCTTGTCTCTGGGCTCTAGGGAAAGACCCTGAAGGCAAAGCATCCCTTGAAGGACTCCAAAATTACCCCCCTCAAGCAATAAGTAGTGTCCCAAGCAAGCCAAACCCCGCCCATGACTGACTCCAAGACTTGATCTTCACTGCCTACCCACCCACCCACCTTTGCCCTGAATTCTCCTCTTATAAACATGGGAATGTTTTCCATGCTTTGGAGATAGTCTTTGAGATGCTAATCCACTGACTTCCCAGATGCTGGTTTCCCTACCACAAGTTTATCTGCCTTTGGATTTTGTCAGCAGTGAGTGGCTGTGCCTGGTCTGTCCCTGCACCCATGTACGTATCTATGTTGCATCAGTGAGGAAGTCTCTAGCACTCAAATGGCACTCTGCAGATACCGGAGTTTTAAAATATGGGTTGATTGAACCTCATCTCACAATGAACCTATTCCTATCTCTCTGAGCTCCCCAGGCATGGGTTGGCCATGATGAATTTTCCCCAAGCCCTGCTCCCTTTACTTCCAAAGCTTCGAGATCAGAGACAAGCTAGAATAGAAAGAGAAAACAGCAGTGGAGAACAATCAGCTGTATTGAGATTTGGCACACAAAGAAAGTCTATTGGAGGATTATTTCAGTTACCTTTTGCTATCTCTTTTTAGAGATGATGATGTCTGTCACCTGTTTCCTAAAAACAAACACAAGACCCAGGTCCTGCTGGAGGGCAATCTCTAAGCAAGGATCATCCATCCCAGCTGCCCCTCTTCCAGGTTCTGGGCTCTTCCTTCTGTGCCACAACCCTGAGATCAAGACCTGAGCTGAGATCAAGGATCAGATGTTTAACTGACTCAGCCACCCAGGCACCCCAGGCATATCTTACTTAAGAAAAAAAAATTTAAGAAAATCTAGGTCCAGTATGCATGGCAATACCCCAGTGTGGCAAGCATTCAGTCTTTGTGCCCAAACTCTGACTCACCTTCAGTTTGATCTCTTCTGAACCTGTAGAAACAGAATTGCTTAAGCTTCCCTGCCTATGTTCTTTACTGCTTAGTAACTCTACCAGTCCTCTACCATACAAGGGATAATCCCTTTAGTCCTTTGGTTTTAAATAACATCTGTATGTTGATGATATTCCAAACATGTATCTCCAGACCCAAAATTACCCCTGATCTTCAGGCTCACAAGTCTAACTGGCTAAGAGGAAGCAGAACTCTCGGTTTCCCATTGTCTCTCTCTCCTCTAGGCAAATGGTTCTGTCAACCACACTATTGCTCATGCCAAAATTCTGGCTATCCTTGTCTCCTTTTTCTTTCTTCCTCCCTTCCTTCCTTCCTTCCTTCCTTCCTTCC